TCTGTAGATTCATGTGAACAATTGTTTTGTAACTGTCTTTTTATGTAGCAACTAGCAAGGTGAAGATAGAACGACCTGCATAAAGAAAAGTTTTTTTCTTTCAAATTTGTTAATGTGAGCAAATGTGATTTATTAACTGAATTGGGGCTGGACTAGATAAGCTTTTGCTTCTTCCAGTTCCCTCTCAAATGGTTTTATGTTATTGTATGTTTTGTATTGTTTCATTCAACAGCATGTTTATCGTATTCCTCATTTAAAAAAAATATATATATATTTTTTGTATGCACCAGGAATATGGGGGAGTGCATATGCAATTTCATGTTTTCGATGGTTTGAGATAAATAAATAAATAAAAAAAATAAAAAATAATAATAAAAAAAAAAATTACACGTTTATTTGACTCATTTACACATTTATTTTCCTCATTTACACGTTTGACTCATTTACACGCTTATTTTCCTCATTTACATGTTTATTTTTCTCACACGTTAATTGTCCTCATTTACTGGTTAATTTGACTCATTTACACATTTATTTGACCCATTTAAACTTTTATTTGACTCATTTACACGTTTGACTCATTTACATGTTTATTTGACTCATTAACACATTTATTTGACTCATTTACACGTTTATTTTCCTCATTTACACGTTTGACTCATTTACACGCTTATTTTCCTCATTTACACGTTTGACTCATTTACACGTTTATTTGACTCATTTACACGTTTATTTGACCCATTGACACATTTATTTGACTCATTTACACGTTTATTTTCCTCATTTACACATTTATTTTCCTCATTTACACGTTTATTTTCCTCATTTACACGTTTGACTCATTTACACGTTTATTTGACTCATTTACACATTAACTTGATCCATTTACACGTTGATTTGGCTCATTAACAAGTTTATTTAACTCATTTACATGTTTATTTGAATCATTTACATGTTTATTTTCCTCATTTACACATTTATTTTCCTCATTTACATGTTTGTTTGACTCATTTACATGTATTTTTCTCATTCACACGTTAATTTTCCTCATTTACACATCTATTTTCCTCATTTACACATCAATTTTCCTCATTTACATGTTTATTTTCCTCATTTACACATCAATTTTCCTCATTTACGCGTTTATTTTCCTCATTTACATGTTTATTTGACTCATTTACATGTTAATTTGAATGATTTACACATTTATTTGACCCATTTACACGTTTATTTGACCCATTGACACATTTATTTGACTCATTTACACGTTTATTTTCCTCATTTACACATTTATTTTCCTCATTTACAAGTTTATTTTCCTCATTTTCACGTTTATTTTCCTGATTGACACGTTTATTTTCCTCATTTACACGTTTATTTGACTCATTTACACATTTATTTCCCTCATTTACACATTTATTTGACTCATTTACACGTTCTTTTGACTCATTTACACATTTATTTGACTCATTTACACATTTATTTGACTCATTTACACATTTATTTGACTCATTTACACATTTATTTTCCTCATTTACACGTTTATTTTCCTCATTTACACGTTTATTTTCCTGATTGACACGTTTATTTTCCTCATTTACACGTTTATTTGACTCATTTACACATTTCTTTGACTCATTTACACATTTCTTTGACTCATTTACACATTTATTTTCCTCATTTACACGTTTATTTTCCTGATTTACACGTTTATTTTCCTCATTTACACATTTATTTGACTCATTTACACGTTTATTTTCCTCACTTACACATTTATTTTCCTCATTTACACATTTATTTTCCTCATTTACACATTTATTTTCCTCATTTACACATTTATTTTCCTCATTTACATGTTTATTTTCCTCATTTACACGTTTCTTCCCTCATTTACACATTTATTTTCCTCATTTACACCTTTATTTTCATCACTTACACATTTATTTGACTCATTTACACGTTTATTAGACCCATTTACATGTTTATTTTCCTCATTTACACGTTCATTTGACTCATTTATACGTTTATTTTCCTCATTGACACATTTATTTGACTCATATACACGTTTATTTTCCTCATTTACACGTTTATTTTCCTCATTTACATGTTTGACTCATTTACACGCTTATTTTCCTCATTTACAGGTTTATTTGACTCATTTACACGTTTATTTGACTCATTTACACGTTTATTTGACTCATTTACATGTTTATTTTCCTCATTTACACGTTTATTTCACTCATTTACACATTTATTTGACCCATTTATTTGACTCATTTACACGTTTATTTGACTCATTTACATGTTTATTTAATTCATTTACACATTTATTTGACTCATTTACATGTTTATTTTCCTCATTTACATGTTTATTTTCCTCATTTACACGTTTATTTGACTCAATTACACGTTTGACTCATTTACACGTTTATTTGACTCATTTACATGTTTATTTGACTCATTTACACATCTATTTTCCTCATTTACACATTTGACTCATTTACATGTTTATTTGACTCATTTACACATTTATTTTCCTCATTTACGTGTTTATTTTCCTCATTTACACATTTATTTTTCCTCATTTACACGTTTGACTCATTTACACGCTTATTTTCCTCATTTACATGTTTATTCTTCTCACTTACACGTTAATTTTCCTCATTTACTGGTTAATTTGACTCATTTACACGTTTATTTGACTCATTTACACATTTATTTGACCCATTTACACTTTTATTTGACTCATTTACACATTTATTTAACTCATTTACACGTTTATCTGAATCATTTACATGTTTACCTCATTTACATGTTTATTTTCTTCATTCACACGTTTATTTTCCTCATTTACACGTTTATTTGACTCGTTTACTGTTTATTTTCCTCATTTACATGTTTTTTTTCCTCATTTACACATTTAGTTGACAAATTTACACGTTTATTTGACTCATTTACACGTTAATTTCACTCATTTACATGTTTAGTTGCATCATGAAGGCAGTTTGGTTCCATTTAACTCAGGATCATTAAGAAAACTTTAACTGAAACAGCAAAGTTTGCATTCTAGAGGCTTGTTCTTTCTTCACCTTTAGCTTTTGTAAAATGTTGCTAAATAAAAATAATGAATTAACATTAATGATGCGTGCCATTTCTGCAGCTCTGCACACCGACTCCACTGTGGAATTACTAACTGCAGAATTTGTGTGGAGACCAGATTTGGTCTTTTCCAGACAGAAACAATTAAACAGGTCAGCAATGAGAGCTTCATGCGAGAATCCATGATAACCAAATCAGCTCTGATCATTATTAATGAACCAATTAACTGGTTTCCATAGCAACACACCCAAAGCTGAGGATACCTCGCCCCCTGGTGGCCGGACCCCTTCACTACGTGAGATCACTTGTGAGATCTGAAGCTCAGATTTTAGCAGCACAGGGTGTGTTTCTGCAGAGCTGGTTTCTGAAGCACCGACCAACACTGTTTAACTTTATAGATCTCCGGAGCAGCTGACATAAACCTTAAGTTTCCCTCTCGTTTTGACTCATACTATCCTAATGAAAGGAGTTTTTAATCGTCCTCGCGAAAGCTCCGGGGTTCATCAGTATCACCAGATCTTTTTATGTCAGAGCCTCAAACACAGAATGACTGACAGGTTGTTTCCTCAGGTCATGAAGTTGGATCTGAGGTAATCAACAGGCAAGTTTTTTAGTCCCGCCCCTTTCTGCACCTCCATGTCTCCTCACAGGAAACATTTTTGTTCCACAAGCGTTCCAAGCACTTCTAAGAACCTTTCATTCTTGTTGCAAATAGAAAAGCTTCATGAGGGTTTGACTACGTGTGCCTGGTGTTCTTCAGAAGGTAGGAATTCAGAACCTCTGGACCTCCTCCAGTTTGGACCTCATGTGGGGTTCTACCTGAAAAATCTGACTTTTTTTGTTTTAAGAATACAGAATCACTTAAAGCAGCTCAACTACAGAGAGCCATAAAGGAAAATACAATAAATAATTAAAGCAATAAACAAATACATAAAATCAATAATAAATACATAAATAATGAATGAAGTTTCAAACATAAAATGTTTATTTCATTAAAAATTATTGGTTTGAGTTCTTCAGCAATTCATTTCATTTGTCAACCTGCCCTTCAAAGTGAGAGGGCGGGGCTAAAGCTGATCACATCGATTGCTCTGGTCTGAATGGGGTTTTGCAAACGATTCTGAACGTATTTTTTACCTGAAAGGTGAATCAGGAATTTTCTTCAACTCAATGAGGAGAAATCATCTTTGCCCCTGAAGAAACAACTGCAGAGGTGAAGGAGATCCTTGGACCTCTGAGTGCCCTAGCTAAATCCTCCGTTAAAAACCTCGGAATAACCTTTGATTCAGCTTTCGTCCCTGACAGTCATGTGAGCTCCTGTTTCCACCACCTCAGAAGGATCGCCAAGCTTGGCTCCATTGTTTCTCGTCCAGAAACGGAAACATTAATGAATGCATTTGTTTCATATCGCTTGGATTTCTGTAACGCTCTTTTCACGAGTTTATCAAAAACCTCCTTAAACCGGCTGCAGACGGTACAGATGCATGGCTCACACCTCTGTTAATGCAGCGTCACTGTACATTAGTAGATATCTGCAACCGTACACTCCATCCAGGTCCTCGAGGTCTTCCGACAAAGGCCTGCTCTTTGTCCCAAAAGCCAGACCTGGGACTAAAGGAGACCGAGCCTTTTCCTCCGTGGCTGCTAGACTCTGGAGTTCTCTTCCTCTATCTGAGGACTTGGTGACCTCTTTTATAAAGCAGCTCCTGTTTATTGATTCTGTTTGATATTTATTTCTTGTACCTGACTGTTAGTTATTTTTATTTTCTTTTATGTGAAGTGCTTTGTGGCTTTTACCTTCAAAGGCGGTATACAAATAAAGCGTAACTTACTTACTGACCCCACCCCAACATGTCCCATCTGCAGGACAAACCATCTCTGGGAGAATGAGCAGCACTTACTGTAAAGTGTTCCTGGGATTTGTAGTTCTCATCGAGGTAGATTCGAGCTCTGCTGAAGTCCTTCATGGCATCACTGGACAGCAGCTCCCTGACAGACACCAAGCAGACAGAACTGAATCAAAGCCAGTAAGATCTAACCTGACCTAAGAACCAAACAGGCACCTTTTCAGGACTCTAAAAGCTACAGAAACAGACTTCATCCCAAGGCACCTGCAGTTAGTGAATACTCGTATTTTATCATTCAATCCAGTCTGCCGTCAAAACGTTCCCCCAACGATTTTTAGAACAGATTTGCAGAACGCTATGGATGATGACGCTGAGCTACAGCCAATCGGTAGGAACAATAAAACGTAAAGAATAAATGTTTGTAGGGAAAAACAATGTAGGTCACATCGGTGAAGTCAAAACCATTTAGAGGAACTTACTTGACAAAACTATCCACATGGGACATGGAGGCCTCGTAGTTCTTCCCCCCCACCTCCTGACAGTGAACCGCCAGAAAGTGTGGATTGTGTGTTTGAACAGTCTGCAACAAGAACAGGAAACAGACCAGAAATGGGTCAGAGAAGAAGAAACGGGTCAGAGGTGATGACGGACGGACACTTAAATCTGAAAGTCGTGTTAATTTCAGGCTTTAAGACATTGGCCAGAGGCACAATTCCTTTGAATGGCACGTGAAGTATAAAAACCTCAGAGGAAAAACATTTTGGGATTTTCACAGTTGGAATTTTAAGAAAATCTGATGTTTGTGACTAAAAACAGAAACGAGCTTCCGGTCTACGCCCTGGGCAGCTGATGACGTTTCACAAGGAGGTCAACGCAGACTCCGGTGTTTCTGCGTTAGCATTATGGCAGAACATTGTGTCATCAGTCAGATGTGCTTCTGAAGCCTCTGATAGTTTGTCACATTTGTTTTTGCTCTGGGATATGATGACCAGAACGGATTACCGGCGACATTCAACATTTCCCAGAATACAGCACAGTATTTTCAAAAGGATGGCAGATCAGGACCCAGCAGCTACTTCAGCGGCAAATTTCAAGTTTAAAATGGGAGTCCAGGCATGGGTGGAGACTTATTTTAACCAGACTGAGGCAATGATTGGCATCACACCCTGGTGGAGCTCCATGGGCAGCAGTTGAGTCTACTGGGTCCTGAGTCTCCATCCACCAAGTGGAAAGATAGGCTTACAGCGCTTGAGCAGGTCGTCGCCCAGCAGAAAATTGAAAATCCTCGATGTCAGACACAAACACTGGGTGTCTTGCAGACAAGTCACCCACTGAAACCTCAAGGAAAGCTACAGATGACAAGGTCGTTGGATCTGGAGTCCACATAAATAAATTCCACATAAATATGAAATATCAACCTGATTGATCTTTGAATGTTTAATCTGAAGATTCTAGGGTTCTTTGCTTCTTCAGGGACCATACACACACTTCGTATTAATTCAGACAGAGTCAGTATATAGTTTATAAAATGGATTTAATTATTTTTCCTAAACTAATAATTTATACATGACAAGATAAGAATAATGAGATGTGGTGTGGTGGATGTGAGGTGTTGTGAGGGAAGCTAGATGTTGTGGCAACCGTTCTTTGTATCTGAGGGAAATTGTGAAATCTGGGTGTAAAAGAATTTGTTGTTTGTTATAAACTAGAGTTGTTTATTAAAAACTGCATCAGACGCAATTTGTCATGCCAAGTCTACGCACCCTTGGTGTGGAGGTTCTCGTTTGATCCGGGGAGTCGATGGTCACTGCCGGTGGAGTGAACTCTGATATTGGGAACCCGTAGATAGTTCCGATAGGACCCATCCAGTCTGAGATCCCTCCAGGTGAAGGCAGGAAGCTGGAATGCTTGTTTGCATCCAAGGTTGATGTTTGCTTGGCTCTTAAGCCTGATTTATGCTTCTCCGTCTGCGTCAGTGCGGAGACACGCAACGTCCTTCCAGGCTTGCTGGAGAGCTCCGCAAGGACGGACGGAGTCGAGCTCTCTTTTCTAAACATCCGTCAGTCGAGAAGGACAACGCAAGCTTGTGATTGGTCAGGACACAGCTGTCGTCTACACCGCCGCCATTCCGCCCTCAAAAACATAAAAAGAGCCGAGGATAACTAGCGGCAGACACGGAGCAGCTTGAAGAATACCTCGCGAAAAAATTCTAAAATATGAACGTTTAATTCCCCTGTGACTGGTGGAGTGAAAAGATACGCAGCAAGCATTTTATTTGTAGAAGGAAATTACAGGAAACGTGGGTTTAGAGGTGGCGAGAGCATGAAAAGGTGGAGGAGAATGAGAGACAAATTTGTTTGTGTTAAGTCTCTTATGTACAAAAAAACACAATATAAACACACTATCTTGGACCGATACATGACAGGATACCACAGAACAGCGCTACGCCCTCTGTTGTCCTGCCGGGGAATTGCTTTGCAACACTCTCCAGGAGGCGGAGAAGTATGAGAGCAAAATGCTTCCGTCAATCCGTGCGTGTCTGTCCCTTGCGGAGCTGACGGAGAAACATGAATCAGGCTTTAGAAGAGCCGGTTGTCTGGTATCAGCTGCAGCGTTGCAGAAAGGCTTTGACAGGAGGTCAAAGGAAAAGATTAGGGCCCAACCGATGTGCTTTTTTGGGACCCATACCAATATAAAACATTTAACAAAGGCCGATAGCCGATATAATGGCCGATAAATCTCCCTCAAAAAAAAAGAAATAAAAATAAAAATTTTCTTAAGATTAAACCCTTCATTCTCTGCCTTTTTGATGCAAACTTATTTCTCTATTACACACCAAAGAACTGTCTCAATAACTCACTAGGGTTCCAAGTAATGCAAATAAAATTTATTTAGCAGATCTCAAAAACAACAGAACACGCAAACTCAGTCATAGCATAAATCTAACATTCAAGTTTTTTCTTGTAAACTGTGGTTTCCACAAATACATTTTAACTTAAAGTAATATTCCACCACTCAGTAAAATTGTGCCTTGTTGCATTTTTATACTTAAAGTTTAAAAATCATCATGTAAATAAATGATATCAGACATTGTGGCTCAAAACCAATGGCTCTGTTTTTGTTTGGTTCCCCAGCTGTTAAGGTTTTCTCATTTAGTATTCAAGGCTTTTTTTTTTCCTTCCACTGAATTTTCTACTCCGTTTGTTGTCAGGTTTTCTTTCCCTTTTAGGTTTCTTTCTTCTTCTTTTAAATTATTTTCATTTATAGTTCCTCCCATGTTCCCCTACTGTACTCTGCTCCCACTCACAGCTCCTCCTCATAACTAGTCCTCTGTCATCTCTCACTCCTCAGTGTATATGGTTCCGTTTCAGTCATACTCTGCTGGTTTCAGCGTCCTAGCTACCAGTTTTTATTTCTGTCACCTGATTTTTGGCATTAAAATACTTTTGAGTTTTACACTTTTGTGTTTTGTTCCTTTCCAAAGCCAACAGTATTAGGAAAATAAAAATAAGATACGTTAGATGACTAGTATGTGGCAATATATAAGCCTTATATAAAATACAAGGCTGGAAAAAATACAATAGATTTATTCTATTGTAGAGAGGAATGTTTATTTTCTCTTCGTATTACCGAAGTAGTTGGTCCCTGCTATCACAGCGCTTCATTGCCTT